GAAGTCACCTCGACGCCTTTGCAGATAACGATTGGCGTATTTTATCAGCGGTACACGATAAAGCGACCTTCACTAAAGCACGTACATGTACCGCAAGAATAACATATCTGTCATTGCTTTGCTCGTAATTTTTGTTCCAGAACAAAACTTTTCGTCATCATTTTAAAATCACATATGCAAGCACTATTTTTACCTATACCCCTCGAACACCAGTAATTTTAAATGTGAGTTGTTCAAGAAAGAAAAACCAATCTTGTAATGTACATAAATACAGCTTTTGTGAAGAAATAAATTTCTAACATACAAAAAACATTAACTACAAGATGTGTGTTCAGCAGTTACATGCGCAAACAATCTCTTTGTTTATTAATGCTATCTATAATACCATTGTTCAAAAGATGAACGACAAACAGCTTATGATAATATTCTAGAAAGGTATTAACTACCTAGATGTCTAATACTGTCAATTAGAGTTGATTTTAAAAAACTATTCAGTTAATATGTGTTACTGAATTTGAACAAAAAAGCATCTCCACTAAAGACTTTCGTTCAGCTGCAAATAAAGAATTTGTTTATTGGTATCGAGCGCCGCTATGGCAATTTATTGCACATCCGAGGTCACACGTGTATAGCCAATAATAAAACTCGTGCAAATTTAAGTGTTGTATGCATGCACTCCATATCTCGATTTTCTTATCGGTATGACGACTCCATTATAAGTTTTATGCAGCAACTTCATACAGGGCAGTGATATTTCCGTATTCACATATCAAAATAAGTAACGTAAGATTGTATCTGATATTTTTAATTTTCATTTAATATAAACACTGTCTTCTTTTTGTTTGAAATTCTAAATTGTGTAATGCAACCAGTTTTAGAACATCTTATATTTGGGACCATGCATAAGTGCCGGCTCGGCGCAGTGTTCGTGAATGCGCAAGCGCTGTGATGCAACGCGATTATAGATAGGTGCGCTCGCTGGTGGTAACGTCTACGTCAGCGCGGTAGGTGGACCGGCTCGTGTACTGCGCAACTACATATGTAGGACTACCCAACGAAAAAATACAAGATCATGTGACGAATACAGATAAAATGTTATCAGCTGACGCGTGCCTATTTGTTTAATGTTCACTCTTGTCAGTGAATCGTATTCCAATAGCAACGTGTGTCAATGTTAATAATCCTAATGAAAAAGCGATGTAAATATTAACCACGTATTTTTATAATGATCCTCACTGTGGTCAAGGTTTTTGCAGTATTTAATAATTGACAAATTACATAGACTGCAAAACTATAACTTCTGGACGACTGATACATAATATCAATATCATGTATTTACATATGTCGAACTATAACAATTCAAATGTGAATTATAAACTTACCTAGATAACTCATAGTGTACCGATATGTGCAAGTACAAGACCAGAATAAATGACAATTATTAAAATTCGCATTGCATGCAGAATGCTGGCAAAGCCTTGCTTCGCTCTAATAGCTATGTCCTCCGTCAAGGTCTGCCAGCTGACGTCAAGCTCTTACGCCCGGTAACAAGAGATTATGCATCCAGTTATATTTATTCTATGCAACTGTTGAACACTTCAGTTCGAAAGTTACTGACGAGCAGCTTACCATAAAAGACACTGCAATTTTTTCAAAACATATCTTGTGTAATCACGTAAATGGACCAAACTGGATCTAACTTCTGTTTAGGTGGCTTTTTTCGCTCGCCACAACGGCAATAGCTGTGGCGAGCAGGCGTAAGTGGTGCGCAGGAACAGGTTCTGCACGGATCACATGTGGCCAGGTCGGTGACCTCAGGGACGATAATCCGAGAACAGCCAAGACCCGCCACTCCGCCATTACCACTACAACTGTTCATATTTCGGACCAAATATAAAGTGCTGAGCGAGCTATTGTGGTAGAACAATTTATTATTTTCTACTAATTAGGTATCTGTCAGATGATTTAAAGTCAGTTTCTAAGTCCATTTAGATGCAAGACAATGAAGTATATAATGAAGATAGAGATAATGAAGAAAATAAAGATGCATCATTAGAGTGGTACATTTAAAATTCACATACAATTGATGAATTACGACTCCAGTACCCATTTATTTACTGATACAGTTGCGTACTTTTAAAGGTTTATTTGCAGTTTCTTTGACAACGTGTCAAAAATTCATAGACTCATACACGTAACGATAGAACAGTTGGCAACGATGCTTATGTCATAATTTTGCACGGCGACACCACGTCTGGGGCATGCCATTGTTCTGTTGCACCAATAATAGCCTGTTAGCAACGGCTAACGTTTGCGTAGGTCGTCCGTCCGCATGTGGCTATATATTGACGATAAATTAAATAAATAAAAAAGTTTGCTAAACAAATTAAACAGGTGTAATCTTGTAATCGTGTATTGTGTACATCACTTAACATGTTCAGAAATCATACTGGAAAAACTACTACATATTAGCTTGACGATTGCCTAAGCGTATGCCTCCATTAATTTAGAGATCATTAATTATTTTTTCAAGAATTATTTTTCATTCTGCGGGTGTAAATAGGCCTTACGTAATTGAACAGAAAATATGTAATAGGAGAACGAGCGCGACGAGTCTCCGGTCCGCCCACCACAAGCATTTGGCCGCCAACAATATGTACACAAGGTTATAAACAGAGCGTGGGCCTGTAACGCAAGCCAATACAATGTCCAACACTCATTGTACCTACATACGACGCGACATTTGCTATTTTATTCTCTTCTTATTATGATGATTAAGACCGTTGCCATCTCACTGGTTCCTGGGTATTTAATGACAGCAGTGCCACAGAACAAATGGTACTGACATCCTCAGAGCCTTTTACACATCTTTCCTCGGGTATATTGTGTTGACTAAACTGACACTAGGAAACTACCTACATTTTCTTTATTTATGATATCCATTTCTGATATATAAAATTAATTTAGTTTTAAAGGTAAAGGCATAGAAGTGACAGTGCCTTTTCTAAAGTGAGGTAACATAAACCTTTATAAAATATTTTAAACGCGTCGATATATGTAATAGACGTCAGTGATGTCAAGTTGTCTTCTATTGACATGTAATCTAATAACTGAGTAAAGAGAATCGTCATAACTACCTGCAATAAACTAGCTATCGGTTGCGGTCGTAGTCACTCACGCAGTCATAAACATTTATGTCAATTTTACAATGGTGTTGCATAACTGCGGCCGTAGAGCGCTGCGCCGCGCCTTGACATTGTACGACACAGTGAACCGCGCACGTGGATCGTAAAATATATTTATGCACATATGTTGGTTGCAGTCTTTATTCTTGGCAGTTACTGTGATTGCCATATTGGACCTAGGTATTTAATAACTAAAAAATCCGAGTTAAGTTTAGAACAATAATATTATGTTACATCTCCAACGGGAGTATGCAATAGGAACTTCGTGTTTCAATTCCACCATCTTAATTCAATGTAAATATTATTATGGATCTTATTAAGGATGTTTTCAAACAAAAATATTTGCGATCTGTACGACCATTTGGACAAGTTGGTTGCAAGATGCTAGAATCAGATGGGGTATTTAAGGTTCGGCTTTTTTCCAGTAGTTCTACCGGCAAAATTATAATGATGACGTAAGTAGGTAAGTTGCATTATATGGAATGTCCAATACGTACAGGATATTTCGAGTTTGCGACCAGTTGACTTTCATTGTCCATTAAGATAGATATGTAATTATGGAAGACAAGACAACAGCTAATTCTATTTAAAATTATGTTAACAATGATAACTTCGTAATGTACCCATAGTAGAGTCCGACACGTGTAGTACATGTACCTACTCATTATGCACCGATGCATGTTGTGTACTAAACGACGTGCATAAAGTGTCAGTGACTTCTTATCTAACGCATGACTTTGGAATATGACTAGCTACTTAGTTGGTTATTGCTTCAATGAGGTTGATTAGGTACCTTGTAAACGTTAGTAATTATCAGACTACAAAGAAAAAGGTGTTTTTCCAAGTATCATAATAATTATATCTATTTTTACTTTTATCTGTTGAAATAAGGAATTTTAAAGTATTATAACGTAGATAGTAAAAGTAGCTTAAATTAAATATAAGTAGGTGCGTACCTACATTCGGCTGAATGTCATGAACGACTAAATAGAAGTAATGACGTTGGTGCACAAAGACATTGTAACACATGGCCCATGGAATTACATAAGTACATAGTTATCCTGTCTTAAATGTCGATGAGCAAGCAAACCTTGAAGTGCATCTGTGCAGTTTGACTCATTGCTCAGCGAATTATGCGTCACAAAGGATTTTATATAAAAACAATGTCTTTGTAGTAATGCTGTACAGTAAACTAACAGTTGTTACGAAAATGTATTATTATCTTTTTATCGGATTTATTAGTAAACCCATTGCAAATGGAAAACGGAACTATGTAAATGTCACTTATAAACAAAGACAATTAAATGATTTGGTACATGTATTTTTATTTATATAGCTAGTAACTACACGTAGCTATACTGGTATAATAGAATTGCCATTTATACTGTAGGAGAGATCATAATTAGGGAAAGAGTGCTAATTTGTTACGTTTTGTTTTTGTTATTGTAATATAAGTATGTATATTTTGTGTGCGTCAATACAATTCTTCGTAAAAGTATACCTAAGTGGACAAAGCTGGTTAAATTCTGCAGTACCCACCTACCTATATCAATTTGTGATGAAACAATTATTTAATACAAACGCCTAAGTAATTTCCCAACTATCTTCTTTATCTTGTGGTCTTTGTAATATGAAAGCGACTACAAAGTGTGTCACGGTCTAATTGAAGTCGTACTGGCGACTGGGTACGTTCCACACGACATACTATATAATTTGGTTTCTGCACCGTTACCATCCAACTTCAGTTCAAGCTTAAATGTGCTACGATAATTATTGAATGATCTTTAGGATGGAATCCTGCAAAGTATGACTTACCCTTTTCTTACGTGGGTGGATCTCTTCATAGTCCATTGCTATTCCTTCGTCGCTGAAGGAGGAAGAGGCTGGTGGAGGTGATGGTGTGCCCGAGCGCCATGATGAGTCTGAGCTGCTACTGGCTCCTGGAGACACTGATGATCGATCACCCCAACCTGCACCTGTCATACAAATAATTGCGATAAGCACTACTCGTAGGTAGCTTTTTCAGTTTGTATTTGAATCGACCTTCCCTATCCCTGTGTTATAAAGGATTTTTTTTATATTTCAAAATACAGTGAATAAGGTTGCTTGAATGCAATAAATAAATTGCGAAACGGAACTTTGGTCAGAAACTTTCACTCACTAGAACGGTTATTTTCTCGTGGCACACATGCGTTTGCGCATTAGAACAGTCGCTTTTGCTGTTCTCTACAGCTATCGTTAAGTTTTATGGTTGTGTGAATGGTCTTGATTTGTAGCTATAATATTATTACGTAAGGGATCCCGTATCATCTCCGTCTACAAGCTCATGTAAACGACTTGTTCTGTTTAGTTCTACGTTTTCAAAGATGTAATTAGATTTCGAGATCGAATTTTATTGGTGAAATAAAAGGTTGCTGCAAATATGCTATTCGAGCTAGGGCACATTTGGTTGAAGCTCATCATGAGAGCGCTGTTACACCAAATACCTGTCTAGACACTGTCTAGACTGCTGTCTAGACGATATCCACGTTTTGCAGATTTTATCCAGAATACAACCGGGCGACTCCTTTAATACGTATACTTACATTAAGTTAGGAGTAGTTTTAGGATTTAATTAAGTATTCATATGCATCTACCGATTTGAATAAAATACGTAATTACAGAGAAAATTTTTAATGTTTGTGTTATTGTTTAGTGTCACATAAATTTGCTCTAGGGCTGACTTTTATCCGAATGCCAAAAGGATAAAATATGTTATACAGTACAGTAAGGTAGCATCATAAAATAAAATCAATGAGGTGAGGTGTGATACGATAACTTTTCAATTGTATTTGTAGAGGTTGGAATTTAGAAATACATACGATGTACTCGTCTTATGTAAACGTACGGTCAACTGGTAGTGTGCGTAAGTAGAGACATGACGTAACGTAACAGTAGGGTGACGTAATAATAAATGTGGGAACTGACTGGCTACCAGTGCTGATGATGCAGATCAGCGTTGTCGAAGATGCATAGGGAATGGTGTGTGCGCTGTGGTGCCGTGTGGTGTCGTGTCGAGCGACTTACTGGGGCGCGGTGAGTTCGGGGAGCAGCTCAATGACATCAGCACGAGGGCAGCATTGCACTCGTTCATCTGTTCATCACGCTCGCCGTAGCCTTGGTCGCAGGAGCTGCTAGGCCCGCGCTTACGTGAACTGAAACAAATAACAAACAGTCAGAAAGCTATTTAAAAACTAAATATATTCATGAAAACTCATATGAACGTGTATAAACAAGAGATTAAAATGGAAATGTGTAGGTTATAATTTTACAAATAACATTTTATTTTTGTATCGTTGTTTTTGTAATATCAACCTACACTACATGCGAGATATTAAGAAATCCTTTATAAAAGAAAAACCTTGTATCACTACTACCAAACTAAACTGCTAACCCCTTCTTAAAACTTATCACGTGTAGTGTGATGGTATAATAATGATGAGGATCATTGGGTATGTTAGTATATTATAACAACCAAACACGTCCAAAACAAATTTTGTTTTTGTAAAGCTTGCCAAATGCTGACAGCGTCATCAATTTGACCTGTAGACTTTCAGGTTTCTGCACGTAATTATTGTCATAAATCTTCGTATGACATTTCGAAACCGACGGCCTTGCGTGACCTTCACGGCAATAAACAACAAAATCAGTAACAATTTTACTCCGCATTTTTTTAGGAAACCATTATGATGTTACCTTGTTATGTTATGAAACAAATTATAATGATAATGATTTATTTGAATGCCAATTATCATCTTAGTACATAGTAAATATAATGCATTTCTAATATTTAATTTGATTGAGTATCATAACGTTACAAGTATCCACTGACGAAATTCAGCTTATTTTTCATGTTAGTAAACTAAAATTGAGATATATGTGTATGTAAATATAATTGAGGTATCTGTCATGATTTCTGTTCATCCTATCGTCTTAGTTAATTTTCCAAAAGTAGCTAAAGCCCATAATTCAAAGAACTGAAATATACTCCTAGACATAAAATGATATCCTACTACATCTAAGTTAAAGGTTAAACCTACTATATTATTAGGCATTACAATATCTAATCAAATCTAACGTGACATGTTAGATACGATAAAAATATCAGATTATATTAAGATTGATTCATTATTCACGGTAACTTTGAACATAGTTTGGAAAAGCGATGTCAAGCTAGCATTCCTAAATGTTTCTCGAGGTTACCGACAAAGGTTCACGTCATTGAACAATCAACAAGTCTAGACTGGATTATTGAACTTAGGAGTACCAATGTTGGGATGGCGGCATGAAGTGCCTCGAGGTCGCGGGGATGCGTGGGGTGGGTGCGTCTGTTGCGCAACCGGCGGCGACCCACAAGCGATAGACATTTGAACGAGTCACACAGGACGAAGGCTTTTACTCTGACCGATCACCCTGCCACCTTCACAACTTCGAGGTACAGTACTAGGTCGTTCAACTCGACTCGCTCAGCGATTGAACTGAACGCCCGGGCCCAATAACCTGATCTGTCTATAGCTGTATTAAGTATACATTAGTAACTAGGTAGGATCTATTTTAAAATCATGCTTTAAAACTTATAAAGGCTTGAAAACTATATTTCTTTAATGTATAGGTGTAACATAAATTAATTGTAGATTCAGGTGTCTATGAATGCTAGATCAATGCATAGAGTCGATGACAGGTTACATCAGTAATGTAAAGGTAGGCCTGCTTGAACTTGAGTTCATTTCGGGAGGCTGTGGCGGTGTCCTTGACGATCACGAAACGGCCCCGAGCGGCTGCGTTCACTCAAGATCACCGACCGGCGCGACACGGCGCGCGCATCCCCTTTTATTAAATAGCATATTCGCTAAATATCTACGAGTAAGAAATGTTAGATACATTTGTTAAATAATTATTTGAAATGTCAATTTTGATTAAAATCATAGTGAAAAAAAGCCGATGTCAAAGTAAATTACAAGATGTGAATTGTTTAGGCACAGCTACGTTTAGTTGTTGCCTTGCTTACTTTTGCTTTTTATATTATGCTCATTTTCGCTATTTATATTTTTTGTGTATTTCCTAATATCTGTTATTATAGCCTTAATTTAGCTGCATGGTATGCATGTTATTAAAATGTAAAATATAAAGCTAGGTACGTTGCGGGTAGTGGATCATTGTACGATTTTCTTAAAGTAAACTTAAGATGAAGTGTTACTCAGAAATAAAAATATAATAAACAATTGGCACAGCCGATGTGCCGACCTACGAACGCACCCTAGGAACAAGGTGTAATAACCTCGCGCCACAACGACCTTCTAGCAGGTTCGTTATCCGATTCAAAACAGATAATAATTTTAGGGGTGTACTGTAGGTCACTTGAACGTATTATTACAGTAAAAACGTTGCACGGTTCAACGTATTAGCGAAGTGCTAAAATAGAAATCCCATGAATATTTTCAGTGTGCAATGTGAAATCATTCATTATTGTATAGAGCGACTAGGTTAAGTGACGGACAACGGGGTCGTTATCGTCCTGAGACGTCGACCGATGCTTACGGAGGTGACATTGTTTTTTTGTTTACGATAATAGGGATGTTCGCCGGCCGGTGCGCAGTCGCCGCCGCCGCGCGTCACGGCGACACGTCAGCGACAGCGTCATTTCCTATGTAGCATTATGTAAAATTGCTACGTATCAAAGTGATACCGGACTTACTCATGACACTGGGCGATCATTCTGAGTCAAATTTCATCGTCGTCGCAGTGACGTCAATAGAAACATTTTATCTAATTCTTAGTTCATCGACCAAGCGTTACTTTTAGCATCACATATTTAAAGATATCGGTTGTTATAGCTTGCCATGGTCACCGGGTTGGTGCGCGCTACCGCGCAGCACCTGTGCACACATTCGCTGCGCAACGCGATCACACTGCCCATACTACACACGTAACATTGAAAACGACATACACGAATATTATACCTATAGATGCGATACAAACAGTCCTTAAATAATATTTTTGTTTATTTGTGTTACGTCAGACACTACGTAGGTAGCACAATTAAATACATATACACATAGGTAGGTATACCTGCGCGTAATATAACAACAATAGCTAAACTAGAATCTAACACCGATTTCACCATGTGAGCTCGTAGTTTTTTCTAATGAAGCACGTGAACAACGATACGCATGATGTCGCACTGACACCTACGCACTTCGCGGCTGGCGGACTTTCTTGAAACTACTATGCTTATTGTATTTGCCTGAATTATTTCGTATATACAAGTACCTACTCATGTAGGTTATATTCGCGCTTCCCAAACGCTGATTTACCTTTAGATACAACATTACCTTCGATGACCAAAATTGTATTAGGTAGGTACATATAAATAATGTATTGTGTTGCTTTGAAAAATAAACCGAAGGTCTTCAGCTCGCCATTGTATAAATTCGTCAGTGTTACATTGTACGCTTGAAGCTAATGCGTTTTTTGCCATGTTGATGTAGGTCGGGCGGGCGTTTTTTTATATCTACAAAAACATAGATCCGTTGTGTGATCGAGTTGGTAACGTCGGCTAGCCTGCGTGCGTCGACTAAGTTTTGATTCTGACCTTTGTTGCTCCGTGTCAAATATGATGGTTTTCTCGACTTTACAACCGTATTTACACACCTCTCTAAATTAAAATTAAACTTGTTTGAAACCTGCAAAAAGTCGTTACTTATACTTCGACTCCCATTATTCTGTAGATTTCGAAGAATAATCGCACACGTGAACTGTTTTTGTGCTCGCCGAAAGTGTAATAACCTGCAGGTAGGTCGCCGGAAAGTCAACGCTGAGGTGAACATTCCGGATGAGTAATCATGTTCCTTGTATATGACGTATTCGGGTTTTATAGATGCCCTTTGTTCATTTTGAAGGTGCAACAGCATTGCAATTTTTATAATTATTTCAATGTCGTTGCTGTAATACGTTCGTTTCTTATTTGACTGGCTTCGCTTAAAGTAACAATTAATTGTAGTTGCATAATGCGTTCTGAATATATTTTTGTAACACTTTCTCGAGCTAGTAGCAACATAACTGCACCTGCCGAATGAGATAACGGGCCTCCTCAACACCAACGAAAGCAAACGTGTACCTATCCAACGTGAAAGTGCCGCCATCGCCCCACCACCGCCTGCCTCGCGCGCGCGCCTTCTCTTTACATGTTGCGCAAACGCATGCGGAATGTAAGTTAATGTCTTGTGACTTTATTTTATATTTCCATGGCTAAATTACTCTTACTCCGTTTGCAATCCAGAACATAAACTCTCACAACGCAGCGAAAGCAAATTGATGTAAGAAAGGTAGGTGTAGCCAAATTAAAACTTGTAGAAGCTCTTCTACATACTTATTAGTTTCATACATTTTTATTTCAACAGTAAATACTCTACATATACGTTACCTAGACATTTTACTAGACGTTTTTTAACAATACTGCTTGCTGGCTTTGAGTTTTGTGAACCCAGCTATTTTCTAAAACTCCTAAATTAGCAACCAGGTGTCGAGAATCCTATGGTAGCAGTTTTCAGGGACCTAACTGCGTACCCTGACTCTTATGCTTTTATGTTTGTATTCTATCTATTCTTTTAAAATACGGAACAAGTACCTAGGATCTGTTGGTTGCTAAGCGAAGCTAGTTGTATGTATTGCTGAATATACTTACTTCTTCAATTAACTGTCTCTTGCCTTGTGTATCATTCGCGGATATCGTTGTGTACTGTACTATTCTAGTGTGTGTGGCGTTCCATTTCGAAACTGGGTCAGTGTGTCACACGGCGGCCGCGCCAAGCACCAGCCGAATGCGACGCCATCTTTGAATTTAGTTGATTCATGCATGTACCAAACGGAATCATTAGAATTCATTGTTTAGTCGTTCGAAACCTATGTTGCGAGTTAACGAATGTTGTCATTTTCGCCAGATAACCGTGAGTTTATACAAGGTAATGCCACAACTAATGTCGTCATGAGACGACTAACTAAAAGAAAACGAATGTTGGCATACTTTCACTTTGCATGATCCGATCTGAAATTGCGAAATTTTGTTCACGAATTAAATTTCTATCTTATCTATCATTACAATGAGGAGAGAGAGAGCGCAACGCGATCTTGTTAAATTCGTACGTGGTCAGCTTAATTACTAATATTCTGTGTACATCTGCGCCTTGAATTAAAATATCTAATAATAAATTGTCTGGCTATTGCCACTGCAATAATTTGCCAAGCTATCTCACAATTTCATAAAGAATTGTATTTACAAACAGGTTTATGAAATCATTGCTTATACGTTAAATATCAACCGCTGGCTTTTAGCTCTACTATACTCGTATTAATGCGGACTTCTCAATTATACTACGTGTATATGTATATGTAGGTAGGTACGTAATCGGACTGACCTTCGACAGGTTGTGTCCGTAATCCGTTAGTTTAGTGAACAATATTAAAATATAATTTTGTATTGTTCTAAACGCAACAACAGGTTAGCTTGAATTTACTTATTCAGCCGTAGTTTTTCAATTGTTATGCTTATCAAGGTAATTGACTAATTGATTCCTCAGTGGTTAATATTGTCAAAATAGTCGAACCGGCGACTAGCGTAGTAGATCCAAGCAGCTTGTTCCTTTAAGACTCGCTTTGGTATTGTGAAATTTGGACCACAGCGGAGGCCTCGCCTCTCACTATGATCACGATGAAAAGTGAAACCGCGGTGGCGTCGAGCGTCACGTCGTGCCAAGCATTCGATGCTGTTTTTTTCCGGTTCTAAATACAATATTACTTGCTTATTGACGTTAGATACTACTTGAGATTTATGAAAGTGTTCCAAATTAACTTCGATGCAGCAGCGGAAACGTTGTGTCTCTAGTTCTCTACATAATTATGGAACCCCGATAGAAATTTTCTCGCAGAATTAGTAGATACTTAGAACAAATAAATGCGTTCTAGTGAGTGCTGTGCAGTATGTACTCGTAACAATTATGTAATGAATTAGATTTTTTAATAATTCTCACAACGTTGCATTGTCTGTCCCTGTTAGAGGCGCGGCAAGGGGCGAGGGGCGCGGGCGGTGGGCTCCGGCCACAGAATGTAGGCAAGTGTGACAAGGACACGCCCGTACTCCGCGCTAACACTTCCATCCAGTTTCTAACGTGCTCGGTGCGCGTTTCGCAACGCTCGCCCGCGCCCGGCCCCACTTCGTCGATGCACAGTGCACACTCGTGAACGATTACATCTACCTACAAGGTAACGTACAAAACATACTAGTGCCTCACGGCTGGGACTCACTGCCGACTTTTACTACCAATTTCATTTGATTGTGACCTTGACATATCATGAGCCTAAAACGTATTTGTCATCGCAACTTAAGCAGGCATACAATTCAACTAAAAACATCTCTTTCTGATGGAAGTACTACCGAAATTAGGATCCTATTAAATCTATCCGATAGGATTCCTTTTAAATCTATTGGCTCGGCGAACTAAATAATTTGCAAAATCGACATAAAGAGATTTTGCAAGGCAGCGAACGGCCATTAGAAATGCAACGGCAGCGGCCTTCCTTAGCGCTTGTGGCGAGGTGAGCCGCTACCTCAAGGCAAAATAGCATTGATATTTGTTAATTAGATTCCCTAGTCCCCGATTTACATCATTCGAATCGTGACTTGTTATCTAACTCAAAACTTTTGCTCTTGGAACAGCTGAGCGAGCCATTTTTCGCAACTTTCGTCTTATATCAATGTACATTTTTTATATTTTTGAAATAGTGTATATAGGCTTACCTTTGTACGGGGCTTGGTGGTACTTCGATGGTTGCAGAGGAACGACGACGATCACCGGCCATGTCTGCTAGTCTAGCAAAGTCTGTGTCCACATCTGCCAACCTGGCTGACTTCCGTGACTCCAGCAGCCTTACGTCATCCAGTTTTTTCTTTAACTCGATCCGCACCTGAACCAAAGAAAAGGTAAAATGTTATTAAATACATTTTTATGCACTATTTTATTTGGTTGTAAAAACAAAGGTTGTTTGCCAACAACATTTTTAGTAAAGATTTCCTTGTCTAACTCGGTGAACACGGGATCGATATGGCTAACCTTCATAGGAATTACTGTGACCGGGTGAACGAGTTGGCGTGACGTCATGACCGGATGATAAAGAATATGATGCATGTTCCGTATCTCGAATTGCATAATAACATAAGTGGCTCTGACCATGAATAATACTATTTCGAGTACTAGTTTTAAGTAGCTTTAATATACATTTAAATAAATATTCCAAAACTAATTTAATGTAAGTTAATTACTCATTGTTTTCTACGAAGCGTAGTTATATACTGAAAAATTACAGTAAGTATATAATGTAATACCTATTTAATGGAAATTCCTACTCGTAAATGTAAAGCCGAGCTTGCCTTAGAACAGGAAACACACACTGCAATGCTCGCTCTGTAGAGGTAAACGGGTTAGCGTTCTGTGTGCTAAGTTACTGAAAACTGCAGTTATGAATTTAATAAATAGCTGCATCGTTTTTTATTAGTATAAATGCAGCATTATGGTTCGATTTTAGGTAAATCTGAGTGTTGAAATAGATTAAAAATGCATCATCATTAAAGATGAAAAAATCGCTACTAATTATAACTATGTCAAATATTGTGTAAATTTCCGAACAACATCGTGCAATATAAGTGTTTATATACATAATGTGTTTTTCTGTCAAGGGGAAGTCCGTAACCATAAGCGTTTCCACGGAGGTTTTGCGTATCATCCGTCCTCTTTAAAATATTGAATATACTTAATTGGTTTGTCATTCACACGTCAGAGTGTGCGACGTATCTGTATGACCTGAACTTGGACTAAGTATTAGGAAGCAGGCTTGACTGTATGACGCATGTATGTATACTTATCACGCACTGGTAAAGTTGCTTGTAACGCGGTCACACTCTCGGTCAATTATGTGCCAACGAGCAGTTCGCTCTCGACTGGTTGACATTGGTTGCGTTTTCGACGCCGGCTTCCTTCTACGACGCGACTACCTTCGTGTTTGACACGTTATCTATCCACATAATACATAATGAGTGTAGGTACGTAGTATTTTAATACGTCGCCGGTATGTAACCTTGCCTTATTTAGCGTCAATTTAGCTAGTGAACATTCTTCGTCTATATCGATTGCCTTCTCAATACAATCATTGCTAATAGTATTCCGACAATAGGAACGGAGCGCTATCTATTCTGATAACATCCATATACCTTTCCGAAGAGTTAACAGCTGATAATACTTCTTGTAAAATCTATCAACATGCTTAATATTGAGCAATCTTAATACAGAGGAACCTTGACAAGTCAGTGATATAAAACTGAGATTTTTAACATTCTATTACATATCTACGTATTTTAAATCTCACGGTTTCGATGTAACTGCGCAGTAGCTGTGCGCTGTGGATACCATGAAGCTAACCTTACTTGAGAGACGAGCGTGAAACAGCCTATTCACGAATAATTCCTCCATGATGCAGTTAATGTTGTCTTGGGTCGCTGATCACATCATACTTTCACTTTTACATGATTTCGTGCGAGTGTGGACGTGCCATGAGTCTAAGACGTCGACTCGCCGTGAGCCTCATTCGAGCCGGAACAATGAAAGTTGCATTAATGAGTGGCTTGCTTATGTCTTTGGTAGATACAGGTAGGAAAGTATCCTACTTATATCAAAACATACTACACCACATTAAAATAACTGCTTGCAACGAGTTCAGGGCTAAGTACTAATACTTACATGATTTCTATCTCATTGTCGTTAAATAAGTTCCCGCTTTAAGGAATGTCAGTGGTAATAATCTCAGCTTCAGTTGGTAGTTCCGTTAGTTGAGACGCATATTGGCGAGCCACTAGCCATCGTGGTTATGTAAAAAGTGACAACTATTGCACAATTGCTTCATTCGATGGCGAAACGGACGGCTTTGAAATGCCAGTGAAAGTCGCCGAGTGACTTCGCTATAGGTATCATGATAACGCTGGCGTGAGTGTTACCGGTATAAGTGCATACAGCTAGCTTACTGCGTTCAACATTTAGCTTGTATTTATGCAATAAATGTATTATTCTATAGCATTGCGATTGCCCCTTGAGGGAATGGTCTCTTTGTAATCTTTGAAACAATAAGCATCGTGAGGGATAATTCAGAAAGCAAAATAGCATATCGGAATGGCATATTAATTCATGCATTTGTGCGTGCACTTAGAGAAATCCACACATGCGAGGTACACATACTCATTTGATGAGTATCATGTGTTATATATAATACAATGATAGCATGGATTATGTGCTGTATCAATTATAAATACAACTCCACTGAAAATATTCTAGGTACCTATATAATTAAATTGCTACTAAGTAGGTAGTTGAAATTTCTATTAGTTAATATTTCAATTCCGTTCAAAAATAACAGTTGTACTCGTATATTCCCAAAGTTAAAGAAAAGCGAAAATTTTAAATATTATATTAGATAATACGAAAACGAGGTTCACGGTCATTAGGAACGGCTATTGTAATGCCGTCTCTCGTTTGTAGAGAACATTGCGAACCATAAACAATGTCACATCGTAGCTAAATGTCAACGTTTTGGTGTCAAAAAACTAATTAAAAACTAATATTGAAGGAGCTATGGTATGTTAATATGATGTATATTTGCCTTTATTTGTTTTGTCGAGCGTTTAGACTAATTTAGAAGTACGAAATGTACAGGAGGTGCATTTTTGTCAAACTGTAAGTTGACTGTATACACCATTGCGGTTGCTTTTATGCGGTTGTTGAGTGCTTTTGGCGTCTCAAGATTGCGAAAACTGTCCGCTCTACTGCGCATCAATGTTGCCGCTTCGTAAAACGGATTATCCATGCTCGGTACGCCTCCACTATTTTGAAACACGACAGTTTCTGTTATTTTTTGTTGTAGGTACTAAGAAGCGAACACTGCCGTCACAGACTGATCTGAATTGAAGAATATTATTTTATCAAGCACCTTTAAGTCATGCAAAAGACTTGCCGTTGGAGTAACGAAAGAGAAAACTAGATTTTTAATATTGGAGGATCAATTGGGAGTAAACTATTGCAAAGTTAACTTATTGTTAAATAACAATTGCTTGAAATTGATATCTTATATTCAGCGAAAGCGAAAAATAAAGCGTTCGTGTGCCTATGCAATGAAGAACATTCACTGCAGCCGCACCGAGTCAATGGCTGACTGGAAGCCGGCCGGCCGGTGCAACGCCGCCGCCGCTCTAACTCTGGCGTGAAGTAGGTAGCAACTGCGTGAGTGTGTATGCGTGTGCGCAACTAATTTGTCGTATTTTCCCTTTACTGCCATTTCAGGATCTCTTATTTGTGGTTGTCGAAGTGTGTGTTTATTTAAACCAGGTGTTGTGAGTTGTTGCTGTCTCATTGAAGTGGCATTCATTGTATCTTTAAAATATAGAGTTCTACTTACTCCATAAATAATTAAAAATAGAAATGCTAACTAATTCAGGTTAGGTATTGTATTTAAGCGTATTCCAATAGTATTCAAAATGTATTAATTAACGAATGGGTTTGATTAAATCAGTAGGTATCGCTCTAATGAAAGTTGTAGTACCTAACTTCGTATATAGGTATACGAGTGTAGATTTCGATTGTTTATACATTGGGTATTCAGTGAGGCTGCAGTTGAAGTCACGTAGACACGCATGCATAAGCAATTCGGCTGTCAGCGGGCGATCGTGCACTAATAAATAGGTCAATAGCTTGACTACTTACTACCACATAATCGGTCTATTGTGGCTCGGCCGCGGTGTCATTGAGTCTACCAAACAAACTTTCAGTCGATTTACTGTTCACTTTGTAAACTGACTATCGATCGTGGATGCCGTAATCAAAGCTAAATCAAACATTACACTAACAGCCAGTTTTTCTATTTTATAAAACGCCAAACAAGTATACAGATTACCTGATGGTAAGCAATCAACCTATGGGCACCCTCAACAACAGAGGAGTTACGAGTGCATTGCAGGCATTTTCGGGATTACGGTTTTGGAGATTTTGGTATTGGGCCTCTGGTAAGTTCATTCACACTGCGAAACACAACATAGTGGTTGCTTCACGCCGGTTTGCTGTGAGGCCGTGGTATCACTACGGTCGAGCCGACCCATTCGTACCTACCGAAGCATGGCTCTCCCACAGTTATCAAAATATTTGAAACATGCGTTTTTGAAGCAGAGGTGTCCTGTGACAATGACCTTACATTGTTATTAAAACACTGTCTGACAGTCTGACATACACAAGAAACGTGAACAATTTCACTAGTGTCACACGTGATTATGAAACGTGTCGCCTGAACACGGTTTTCTTTTTTTCGTCTAATGCCTAATATAATACAGACAACTAACAATAATTATTGTTTTACATAGGTTAGAAGAAAGCAATATTTACTTAACTTTTGTAACATGGAAAAATATTACGAATAAATAACTGGATGCTGTGAAATAATGCCATTAAAAAATCAAGTTCTGAACTTAGTTGAGCAATTATCTGCACCATATGTTTAAAGAGACATTTTAGTAAGTAAAGAAAATAATAGGTTGCGTCCATAATTCATAATACGCCCATTCAAAATAGGTGCAAATGAAACAAAATAAATTATTTTCTGCAGCTGAAGCCAGAAATAAGTGCGTGGGCTGAAGTGAATCAACTTACCTACACGTGTTCGTTACTCAAAATGTGTTCGCAAATATTCGTACATATTCAATATTCATGCAGATATAGACATAACTGGTATTTACAGATATACACATAAACATTAGACCTGTACATGACATTTAAGTCAAAGAATAACTTAATATTTTCCACGCCTATGTTTACATTAGACTATACTTCATATAATGTTTTCTTGCATTCATCTATTCCAATTCCTACTCGTAAATA